TCCTCCTCCTCCTCCTCCTTCCTCCTCCTCCTCCTTCCCTCCTCCTCCTCCTCCTTCCTCCTCCTTCCTCCTCCTTCCTCCACCTTCGTCCGTAGATCGCAGTGTTCCCCACCGGACCCCAATAGCAACCTCCGGAACAGAGCGTTCCCCGCCGGACCTCCACCGCAAGCTCCGGATCAAAGTGTTCTCCACCGGACCTCAACCGCAAGCTCCAGATCAGAGTGTTCCCCGCCGGACCTCAACTGCGAGCTCCGGATCAGAGTGTTCCCCGCCGGACCTCATCCACGAATAATCTCCGAAGATATAACACCAGATGATAATGCCAGAAAGAATGTCAGAAGATATTTTAGATATTATTTACCCCAGTACTTTTCCTCACAACAAGCCGAGCAGCCTCACCAGTCAAGACCCATAGGCACATGTCAGGTTGGCAGCAAGCATTGTACCTTTCAGGGAGAGAGAGCGCGAGAGAGAGAGAGAGGGAACGGAAAACAGTTTTGGGCACTGCACCACATTGACCAAACCAAGTGCGAAAGGACACATGACTAAACCACAAGGTACCTATATGGGTTTGTCTGAACATTGGCTGGTTACTCAGAATTTTCCTTATTCAAATTGCCATTTGGAATCAGTAACCTGTACTGCCCATGCCCCCATGCCCGGCATCGCTTTCCCGCCACGGATGATTGCGAAATGGCCATCCAGATGTGGTGCTGAAGCCCTGGAAGCCTCTGCACCACGTCGGATCGGAACAGGCAGTTTTAATTGGCAGAAATCGTTTGCTGCACCAAGTGCACCAATTCACTGACTGCTTTGCAGCCATGACATGGCGGCATGGAATGGGGAAGATTTGGAGGCCCATTGGCTAGAAACTCCGCCACTTCCACGCAATCATGTGCCGGCAGCCACCTTCAAACTCTGCAGGCATTTCATGTGGACAGCAACTCAAAATGCTTGTTGCTATTCCCGACATTGCCATCTTTTCATGGCACCATTCGGTGCTTGGATTCACTGGAGAGTCTCATGCGCTCCAGCTCCAGTAGCGAGGAGGGTTGAGCAACTTGAAATCTCTTCATCCAAAAGTCGTTGTTGGAAAGATGGTGAACCAACTTTTGCCATTCAACCATGAGACTCGCTACACCACTTCAAAAGTTGCAGGCGAACCAAAGATAACCAAAGGCCCTTCGGGGATTTCGATCGCAGTGATTCAAACGACTATGGAAGTTGACGACTGCAATCCTGCTACTGGCTGGCAGCCATTGTGAACAAGAGTTTATGTCAATTTATTTCAGAATATTTCATTAATCTCTTTCAAAGGCCACTGGCGGCAACCGCATTGGGGTTGCGCTATCAGCTTCAGAGAGGCCGCATGACACTTCCACAAGTTGCAGGACAGGTACCAGTATCAACTTCGTCCCGAGTACAAGGGCGCCATGCTTTAAAAAAAGACACTCCGGCTGCACAAAACTTGAGGGCAAGGGGTAAGGGATGTTCGCTTCTAGTTATCAACATGATCAACTGATTACAACGTGTGTGCATGGTGACATGGGGCATTGTCGGAGTAGTGATGTTCCCTATGGGAACAGCAAGCAGGCAGCCAAGAATCAATGACACGCACTCTTCATGCTGTCACCTGTCAAGCTGTACACATCTGCAAACAATGAATCACGGTATGCAGCAGGACTAAAGCTGCTGCGCATTTAATTTGGATAAGCCAAATATGCAATTGTTGGTAGTTTTGGAAAGCACTGCGAAAATGAACGCCGCAAAGTAGTAGCTGAGCTTCGTGACCTGGAAGGCATGCAATCGAACACCCTGCACATAGAAACCTGCTTCACTCTGAATCATGTATTGCACAATGTACTGACGTCCAAGATCCATCCAGGACGGTACGTTGTCATCCTCCTGATCCCCAAAGTGCCAGGAATTCACCAGAGGTGCTACCCTGCTTGCCTTCTCAGTGACTCCAGCTGCTCGCATCATGGAGTATAGGAACAGCAGCACAGGTGGAAATAGCCATCCCAAGAAGAAGGCCATCTGCACCCCAGGCTGCAGCTGATCCACAAAAATGCTGGAATCGGTGTGGAAAAAAGTATACTCCGCCAGCAAGAGCAGGGATGCCCCGCAGGAGGCGCCGAGCGCCAGCATAGATCGACTCAGCTTCGTTGAGACTTGGCGCAGGGTTGCTTGGACGGTGTTCCATTCGTTCAGCGCTTGTTCCATGTCCATCTCCCGGAAGAAATTGATACAGAAACTGTCAACGGCCAAATCCATTCCAGCCACAATATGCAGTTGGGTGTAAGACACTGCTGCACAGCCGACAGCTGTGGAGGAGAAGCAAACAGCTATGATGATGCTTTCCAAAGAAGGCTCTGTGAAAACATCTCCTAACCAGCGGCAAGACAACATCATCATTAAGACGGACAGCACCTCGAGCAAACGCCTTCTGGATATCCGCCTCCAGTCTTTCAAAAAGCCTGATGTCCGAGCATACTCTTCCAAACCTCCATCTTCATGTCCCAACAGCAAGTGAATTTCGGCTCTTCGCATGCTCAATGAAGCAATCGTTGACCCAAGCATGAGACACAGAGTAATGCCAGTGCGGTAAGTGTCAGCCTTGCCGGTTGCATTGAAATAGACCAAACAAGCAATCTGAGCGAGAAGGGGAAGTGAGATTGCAATAAACCACAAAAATCCAGCCTTTGCATTCCTGAACCCCAATATGCCAACAAAGAGAAGCCAAAAACGGGCAGCACACACCATCGAATCTGCGTCAGTGTCCAGTGTCGGCATTGGCCGTTTAACCGACGTCCCAACTGATACTTCGGCAGCCTGGGTGCGGGCAATGTGAGCATCATGACTTGTTTGTAATTCATCCAAAGACAAACGGCGGCACATCTTCAGAACGCCCTCCTTGTCAGCTGCCAGAGTTGCACGATGGCTGTGATTGCTGCTCTTTGGTAAAATTGTTTCTAGATTGACCACCAGAGAGGGGTCCCCCACTAGATTTTCATTGCTGGCACCGGGTGCACTCCCCTGGCTGTGCTTGGCCGTGCTTTCGGAGATCTTGCTGGAGGTCCTTTTTTTGCCTCCCAGGCCCAGGAGCTCCTGTGCTGTCTGAGCCTCCAAGTCGTTGATGGTGGAGGCATGGGAGGAACGGATCAGTGGAGATGGTTTGCGAACCAGTTTCTTCTTCCGTGGCCCGGCAGACTTGTCAAAGCGAACACTGCGGACACTCTTGTTGTTGGAACCCACCAGGCTGCTGTTACCACTTGGCCCACCTGGGCCGTGACTCTCTTGGACTCCCTCAACTTGACCAGGAACAATTGGCAGCAAGGGAGGATCCTCACTGGGAACTGCTGCAACTCGCTCTGACCCAAAGTCTTGACTTAGATCAAAAGAACGTGTTCCTCCTGCGCTGCCTGGGCTTACAATGCAGCGAACTTCTTCCAGAACCTTGCCCTGGAACACCACAGATCCTTGAAGCAAATTAATCGACGTTTGAACTTCGCTGACGGACTTGTGAAGCTGTGCCAGGCCGTCCAATTTTTCAAAAATTTGGCTGATTGCCTGCCCCATGCTGTTGGTGTGACACACCCCGTCGACTCCTCGGGTCAACGGACTCACCGGGCTGGTCGAGCCATTGCCCCCCAAACTGAAACTGTGAAGGGGATAACTTTCCATTCGCCTCAAAGACCCATCACTGTTCCTGCGAATCTCTGCCATGACACTTGAGAATTCAAAGAGCCTTCCGGTCATGCGAAACAAGGTGAAAGTCTGACATGTTGGAAGCGAAGTGCATGAATACTTTGTCACAAATGCTGAAGCGAAACCGCGAATAGATCCCTAGAGTTCAGCCCTCTCTGAGCTGTCTAAGCTTCACCATGCTTCACCCTATCAGTCAGTGGCCCAATCACTTGCCTCTAGGCTGCCACGACAGGTTCCCCTCCAGCTGAAATGGCTACATGGCACGAGTTTGACTAGGTGATCTTGATGTCAAAGTAAACAACATCTTTGCCACACCGCTGAACCCAAACTCCAAAGCTCTGAAATTATGTTTAAAGTTTAAAGATTTCAAAGTCAATCCAAAAACTAAAGGCTTCCTCCTTGGGTGGTTCCAGGGCATGACCTGTGAAAAAAATGACACTGAGAGAACTTGTAAGACATCGAAAGCCAGGAGTATTGACTAACGAAGACCGCACTGCCCGTGCTCTTTTTCCAAATGAGCTATGCCAAGTCGGCTATGCCCGCAGTGACAGGCAGGTGTCGATGGCCCTCACTCAGTTGGTGGAGGAAGATATGTCAGCTCTTGTCTGAACCAGGCCTGACAGGGAGCGACAGCAAGGACTGTCCAAAGATCTAAAGAGTCCGAATCCGAAGAATTCTCATGTGGCATGTCTGCAAGCCTCATCGGTCTTATGTGCACCTTTGTTCCATTTGAAGGCTTTTCTCGAGAAGCTGACAGTTGCCTGTGCCCAGGCAAAAAAACACAAAACAACAAGCTGTCGTCAAGAACCAGGATTAGTCGGGCAAAATCTGGCGTACCCCAGCTTTGGGGACACACAGCAAAATACCGATAGAAATATCAAATTCATTCAGTCTTAGCCTTGTCCGTTACACCATTGCCGTGGCTTTCCTGCAAGCTGTCTGGATTTGACACAATTCCGGATTGCAAATAGCCAGCTCCATTCATCGGAGATTCAAAACAAAACGATACGCCAACCAAGAAAATGGATAATAGAAAAGCAGGCAAGAAAAAGGAAAGATCGCAAGACCTCGCAAGTGTTTGCCCTGTCACTTTCAAGCTGCTCCTGCTTTGGCTCCACAGCTAGCTGTGGGGAGCTCTCCTCGCCAAGGCTGCACTGATTTCTCTAGGCGAATAGCGCCATCCCAAAATTTTCAAAAGCGACTTGGCAAATGGAACTTGGCAAATTTTTTGTGGCTTAAGCCGCCCATCGCATTTCTGGGCGGCCCAGTTTCTTTGACGCCCGGAAGTTGTGTCACTTTGCACCTCCAGAACCTCAGATTGAACTTGCCATCCATGGGGAAAAATGGGGAAAATCTGGGGAAAAATGTGGGGAAAATATGCAAAAGTGGGGAGTTGAGGCTCGGACTTCCCACTCCCGTGAGGTGGTCAGGCAACAAGTTCTGTGCAAGCTTGTTCACCTGGCTTTATCTACCAAGGGGCCCGAGGGGATCTCTTTCAAAAAAAATTGAGTGGCAAAGGTCAAGAACCAAAGAACCTGTCATACACGATGTGGAAGATGCTCTGGAAGCTGAAGCTACACAAATGAGAGCCGATCCAAGGATGGAAGATGGATCGATCTGGATCAAACCCAGCCATCAACATCCATCAACCACAAGTGTTCATTCTCTTCAACTGGCATGGATGTACTGATACATTGCCATCTTGATCAGGATCAGCTAAGCGCATCAGCTCAGCCAGCTCATCTTCATTGAGCCTCAAGTGGTGAGAGTGCGACAGCAGCGGCACAGCAGCGGCCGCTACCAAAACACGGATCTTCACGACTCGCGACTCAACGGTAGATGTTTTCTTGGTCGCATGACAGAATATAATTCCCAAGCAAAGGGAGATTGGCAATAATGGTTGATTCGAACACTCAAACAAGGTACCTGTACAAACAAGGCATGTGGCAAGGCATCACAGAGGTCAATGCTGCTGGGAAGTCAGTCCAAGGACATGCTGTCAGGCTATCCCAACAAAAAACTGAAAACCACGGTCTGTCGGTCCAATCTTTCTAGATCGTGTCTAACAGGTGACGTGTGATTGTGATGGGTGTGTCCGCTGCCAAAGGTTAGAAGGTATCACCGGCACAAAGAGTATTACAGACAGTATATATAAATATAGTTTTAGATGGCAATGCTCTAGGATAGCTGCACAATGATCGGCACAGCTGCAAGTTGATGCACTTTGTGCATGTGTCATGTCTGTCTATCATGTAGTTAACATTCCATTACAATCCACTGAATTCCTCTTGCTCGATGCTTTGCTGAATCTCTTGCTTAGATGGAATCCTCAACATGCCCTCAAGCACCGGTCAAGAAGCTTCTCTCCAAAGTTTGTAGCAATGAAACGTAGTGCTTCTGCATCAACCTGCCAACTGAAAGATAAGGCCCAAAATGGGCATATCAACACGTTCCATCTTTCGCAGTGCAGGAACTGGGGACACGGCAAGTCCATCTTGAGCCAATCCTGACGGATTCGAACTTTATTCAGGATTTTGGATTCAGAATGAAAAAGTTGTTTTTGTTTTGCTGATCAGCTGGGAAGGCTGCACCTCCCAGTTTCTCAGCCAGCACTTCGGCCGTGGGACGCCGGGTTAGCAGCACCTCCAAGGCTGCACGGTAGGCTGGATATTCTGGGGTAGCACCGTGCTCTCGGCCTCGACAAAGGCAGTGGAGAACTGGCAGGACTGCCCGGACTGGGACTGGTCGGGTCACCTGAGGAAGGAACAAACCTCCTCAAAGTCCATGGCCGTGGGACATGCACCAGCACAGCGTAGGGCTTGCAGGAACTCCTTACGGGTGAGCCTCACATGACAACACATCCACTCATCCACTCCGATCTCCAGCAATAGATTAACGGCCTTCAGCTGTTCACGGAATCTTTCCCCTAGCTATGTATGGCTGAGACCCAAATTAGAACAGGACGACTTGAATCCCTCAACGTACCTTTCCCGTCACAAGACTTTGAAGCTATCCACTAAGCTTTAAGCTTGCCATCGCCGTCCCTGTCCTTGATTTGCATCAAATGGGTTTCAAATACCAAAAAATGTTTTTGCCATGCTCTCAATGCTCAGAATCGTAATTGCCGACACAGGTAGGAAATCAGCATCTTAAGTGGCAAAGCAGTTGATCGACCTGTACAGGGCTGACAAAGACAGAGCTAGCTGCCTGGCTTCGAAGCCCCGGGACTCGATTGTTTTTCGAAGCCAAGTCTCGCAGTATGCAAAGATGCTATCAGGATCCAGCTGTGATGGGGCGGCCGGCATTGCTGCGTGTCGTTGACGTTTTTGAGCAAACAGAAAGTTCAGATGTGCGACTAGTTGTGAAGCGTGCAAGTTCCGATATGTGAAGTGTCTTGAAGCCTACTACAATTGACCTGCAGGTATCAATTCCAGAATTTGTGAAAGAAAGATACCTGCGCCAGAAAGGAATGTACAGCGACTGTACGTGTGAGTTGCAAGAGCCGTTGCGATCGATCTGTGCTTCATCTTCCGGGTGCAGGAACTGCAAGGTATCAAGCAGAAAATCCGTGACCACTTCTGCGTTGTTTACTGCAGATGCGAATCAGAATAAAATGTTGGTTTGGTTGGAAGATCATGGAAGATCAGATCATTCAAATCAATCGTTTGACTGACGCACCCAGGACACATACTGACACAAGTGATGCCAGAGTTGGCTTTCAAAGGCAGTCCTGCTGTAGTGCAAAGACGTCCTGCACCTCGTTTCGAGCAGGTATCAACGCTTTCCAACCAATAAAAACTACTCCTAGCTTGGCAACCAATTGGCGGATGGCCTGGAATACTTTGTTGGCCTGTTCGTCCAGTTCACAACATCTGCAAGACTTTGAAACACAAAACTAAGCATCTGTGCTGGTGGCCCTCGAAGCTGCGGGTGTTTTGGCCACCTGGTGCAAATCAAGGTTCCAGTCTGTATCTCAAAGGTGGGTAATTATACCGCATACTCCTGGCATTTTAGTTAGAAAAATGTAATTATGATCAGCTCTGACCAGCTTTCTACCGATGGATTTTCAGACAAACCCTCGAGTGCATCCAAATATGCTGAGCAGTCTGCTTGTAAGCTGCGCCGCTCTGCCCTCTGCAGCTCAAATACTTTGCCTCCGCGGTCAGGCAGCATGCCCCAGATGCGACACCAGGCTGCAAACCATGCTTGTTTGAAATCAAACAGTTGCAAAAAAAGCACTTGGATTTTTCGCTAAGGTCACAAGCATTGGATTAGTTTAAGGGAAAATCTCCTGGAAACTAGGGTTTTTACGCCAATTGTAGGGGGGCCCCGAGTTTCCTGCAGATTTTCCCGAAATCACGTTTCTGGGACACAGGAGCAGTAACTTCCCTGATGATATCACCATTAAGAAACGGCCTGCTCAGCTTTTTGGGCGGTCGCCACTTGCACTTTGGCTGCTGCCAGCGTGCGTTCAATTGCCGGCAAGGCCTAGGATGAGCTGTGAGAACTATGTCTGGAAATGGTATTGAAAAATCCTGTATAGATTTAAAGATGTCCATAAATGCATCTATATATATATGTGTGTGTGTGTGTGATTCAAGATGAAAAATGGCACGTTGGCTCAAACCAACTTGATATTGCTTCAAACCTCAACCAAGAGCACGAAACACGCAGAAAAATCACTAAACAACGCAGCGGTTGACAAAGCTGGCAGCTGTGTCGGAGCAATTGGGCTCGTGCTGTAACATCTCCTGAACTGCACACTGCCAGGGCTTCTTTGGCTGCCTGAATTCCCCAGGTGCCGAGAAGTGTTGCGGGTAGAACTGGATCAAGGGAAAATCTGCAGAAAAAAATTGTTTTCCAAAGACAATAATTCACTGTAAATGTGCCCTTGAACGGATCCTTGAACCCATCGAGTGAATACCAGTGGTGGCAACGTACCTTTAGGGACTGCTCTGGATCATAGAGGAGATGAGCTCGAGCAGTAATCTCCAACGCGGCAGCATCACCGCTAGTGTTGCCAGCCTGGCCAGGGAAGTAATCCTGGAAGCCAGAAGTGCCACCTTCACAACTAGGATCATGAGAAGGTATACTGAGATCCAATATGTATTTGAATCATTTTGAATCACGGTTTATGAAAGCTTCCACTGTAGTATTGAAGTCAAAGGTGGTGGAAACTGCCTGTCGATACAGCAAGCAAGATGCTATGGCAGTTTCTGCAGCCGCATAAGGGTCCTGGAGCGTCTGGAGCAGGTCATGGCTATGGAAACACCACACTTCAGAAGACGTGCCAGTGCCTGCATCGAAGCTAAGGATGCCTTGGCTTTGCACAGGAGCATAGCGGCCTTCGCAAGCGACAAAGCGGAAAGGGGTTTTTACCATGAAATCTATGTGTTTTTCATGCAAACTGTCGATCTTCGATCCAATTCCGGGGCACCTCCCCTTCGGCATCTCCAGCATCATGGCAGGCCCCTGCAGCGGCAGCCGCCACATCTACGGCGGCTCCGGGATCCTGGTGATTCCATGGCTGGCTGCGTGGAAAAATACATCTTATAGTACTATATATAGTAGTATAATATACACATATATATATATATGTATACATGCATATCGTATATACGAATATATATATATAATATGTGAGATTGGGTACTGATATAGTTGTACTCCGCGACTTGATGTCCTTGATGCTGCAGTTCCCGTAAGGATCCGCAGTTACACCGTGCCGAAGCGCAGCGCCCTTTTCCTTTGCTATGCGGTCGTTTGTTGCTTGAGCCAAAGCAGCGGGAGATGATGCTGATGTTCTCCCGTGCCGGCCCACATGATTCGCCTTCTGCGTGGTTCCCTGAATTATGTATCGATCTGCTGGCTCGTCGAAGGACGTGCCTGCTTCGGGAATACATCGTGCACGAATGAGGATTCATGTCTAGAAGGCTGGTACTACCAGAGGTGTTGTTCCGGTTTTCTTTCCAAATTTGGAGCTTGAACTACTCCCACTCTCAGGTGCCTCTCTCAGGTGCTCTTCGGGATGATCTCCAGCGTCTACTTTGCTTTTCGAGCTTTCTTCTTCAAGGCTCCCGGAGTGGTTGATTCGGAGGCATGGGGTACTTCTTGGCTGCCGGAAGCAGTGCCGCGCATGTAGTTCCATGATACGTGCTGCACTGGCTAGTGATTCCCTCATGTACTCAATCTCAGTGGAGACATATTGTTGATACATGTCGAAGTTGTAGTTGGAAAAGAATTCCAAGAAACAAGTCCTGAAACAAGTTGACTCCTTCTTCAAGTTCTAGCTTTCTCACTCGTGTTCATCTCATTGCTGACATGTAGAAGTTGGTTGCGAAGTTCACTTCCGCCCCAAGCCGCGCTGTTGGAGGATTTACGTTTCGCAGTGCCAGCCGGAGGGCTTGCACCGTTACTCCGTGTATTGTTGGCTGAAGGACCAGCACTGCTCCTGTCATCGATAGCAGGTCTCGAAGGGCGCCTTGCTGATCTGTCAAGGACGACCTCTGCGGCCTTCCCCTTGGAGTAGTTTGGCCGTGGCCCGCAGAAGCTCCACTGTGCGCGCTGCTGCTGACGGCCACCCATGAGAAAGTGCCTCCACCACCGATATCTCCTGATCCCGATGTGTCCGCTGGAAGCGCCGGGGCCGCAAAGGACCAATGGGTTTCGTTGCTGCTAGTGTTGTTCTGCGACATTGCTTCGGCTACTGTGCTTCACGCCACTTCCGTTTACACCAGTCCCGTCGACGGGTAGTAGGGCAAGGGGTGCGGGCTGCCGAAGTCAATGAAGATGAACCACGTTCAATCAGCCACCAGTCAAGCTTTGCAATGCCAAGTTTGGCTGAAGGTTGTGTGGAAGTAGCTCTTGAGCAGTTGGCTGCAGGACCACCGTGCGCCCCAGGGTAGAGCGTACGCCTGATAACCTGAGATTGGGTACTGATATGGTTGTACTCCGTGACTTTGATGTCCTTGATGATAAAGTGTTCTCGTAAGGATCCGCAGTTACCCAGTGCCAGAGCGCAGCGCCCTTTTCCTTTGCTATGCGGTCGTTTGTTGCTTGAGCCAAGGCACCGGGATATGATACTGATGTTCCCCCGTGCCGGCCCACATACCTGGCCTGCATCAGCATTATATTCACAATATGTATATATATATATATACTATATACATATGTAATATGTATATATATATATTTATATTTATATACGGTTGATACGTACATGTGATATGACAGCCAATTGGAATCATGATTTCAATAAACTTGAAATCACCAATCATAACCAAAATGAAGATTCCCAACAGGGTCCTTGCTCATCAAGCCGTTCACCAAAGCAAGGGTGGCATCCACCTGGAACAAAAAAAATTCAGCATTTCCAGTGCATCATCTCTGGCAAGCCGTGCCTCTCCCTGATGTTTTGCCAGCTTCTTAAAGAGCACCAAGGCCTGGCGATTTGCCAACCAACTGGCAACTGGTACTTTCCCACCATCAACACGTCCATCTGACTGCTGCAAATCGAAGAGCAATGAGAGGAATTATGCAACGACAAAAAAGAACCATCAGATCCCTGTACGGAAGGTCTATTTGAAAATTTGTCTGAAAGCAGGGTACCAAAAAACTTGACAGCTAACCATCATTTTCCCTACCAACATTGCCATAAGTTGGCTATTCCCATTTTCTTGACAAACCAAAGTTCTTAAATGTTTGATGATATATCCATTCTATACCCCCATTATATCCACATCATATCTCCATTAGAATCCATCATATCCTCACAAGATGGCTGAAAAACATCCCATTGTATCCATGACTCAATCATCTAACTCACACATCCATTAGATATCCATTGTATCCATTTTTGGAAAAATATTCGGAATGATCGGATCATCTACAGAGTATCTACTTAGAACATCTACTTTTGTCCATTTTTATCCATATTATCCATCCCAAACAAAATCAAAATATGTAATAATGTGCTTTTGGGAGATGTTCCTCCTTCATTTCCTCTTTTGCTGCGGGAATCTGTTGCGATCTCACACCTCCGAGGCAAGTGGCACAGCCTTTTCCGCTTCACCAGCTGCCAGGTGTGCCTGCCATCTGAAGGCTTCAGGTAAGACATTGATCGAAATCTATAGAAATCTGTAGAAATCTATACAGAAATCTAGAAATGTACTGCACATATCCGCCGACCCCTGCCTAGCCTTGGCCTAGGCGGGGCGGCGCCCGGGATCACCGTAGGTGTGCGGCATGGCCCTGTGCCGGCTTTGGCTTCGAGCGCTCGGAACATTTCCAAGTTCCTCTAGCAGCTTTCGAAGGCCTCAGAACCTCACAACCTTCCGCAGCAGCTTTCGAAGGCGTCCTCCGCAGCAGCTTTCGGTCATGGTACCTCCCTAGGCCCCACAAGCTGTTTCTATTGGGCTTCGAAACTGCTACGTGGCACGTTTTGGGCAGGCCTTAAAACCCTCAAAACCTCCGCAGCAGCTTTCGAAGGCCTCAGAACCTCACACCCCTTCGCAGCAGCTTTCACACGCGTCCCACTTGCTTTGCCATGGTACATCCCTAGGCCCCACAAGCTGTTTCTATTGGGCTTCGAAACTGCTACGTGGCACGTTTTGGGCAGGCCTTAAAACCCTCAAAACCTCCACAGCAGCTTGCGAAGGCCTCAGAACCTCACAACCCTCCGCAGCAGCTTTCACAGGCGTCCCACTTGCTTTGCCATGGTACCTCCCTAGGCCCCACAAGCTGTTTCTATTGGGCTTCGAAACTGCCATGTGGCACGTTTTCGGCAAGCCTTAAAACCCTCAAAACCTCCGCAGCAGCTTTCGAAGGCCTCAGAACCTCACAACCCTCCGCAGCAGCTTTCGGCCATGGTACCTCCCTAGGCCCCACAAGCTGTTTCTATTGGGCTTCGAAACTGCTACGTGGCACGTTTTGGGCAAGCCTTAAAACCCTCAAAACCTCCGCAGCAGCTTTCGAACGCCTCAGAACCTCACAACCCTTCGCAGCAGCTTTCACAGGCGTCCCACTTGCTTTGCCATGGTACATCCCTAGGCCCCACAAGCTGTTTCTATTGGGCTTCGAAACTGCTACGTGGCACGTTTTGGGCAGGCCTTAAAACCCTCAAAACCTCCGCAGCAGCTTGCGAAGGCCTCAGAACCTCACAACCCTCCGCAGCAGCTTTCACAGGCGTCCCACTTGCTTTCGGCCATGGATTCCCTGGGCCCTACAAGCCTCTTTCTATTGGGCTTCGAAACTGCCACGTGGCACGTTTTCGGCAGGCCTTAAAACCTTCAAAACCTCCGCAGCAGCTTTCGAAGGCCTCAGAACCTCACAACCCTCCGCAGCAGCTTTCGGCCATGGTACCTCCCTAGGCCCCACAAGCTGTTTCTATTGGGCTTCGAAACTGCTACGTGGCACGTTTTGGGCAGGCCTGAAATTCCTCAAAACCTCCGCAGCAGCTTTCGAAGGCCTCAGAACCTCACAACCCTCCGCAGCAGCTTTCGGTCATGGTACCTCCCTAGGCCCCACAAGCTATTTCTATTGGGCTTCGAAACTGCTACGTGGCACGTTTTGGGCAGGCCTTAAAACCCTCAAAACCTCCGCAGCAGCTTTCGAAGGCCTCAGAACCTCACACCCCTTCGCAGCAGCTTTCACAGGCGTCCCACTTGCTTTGCCATGGTACATCCCTAGGCCGGTCAACGCGTCATCTGCGCACATTGAAAGCGAGTCATCTGCGCACATTGCAAACGAGTCATCCGCGCACAAAGAGCGGTCATCCGCGCACATTGATGCTGGGAACCAGCCATTTCGGGTTTGGTTGGGGGGGGGGTGGGGGGTCCTAAAAGGTCCCACGTTCACTTAGGACGAAATTTTTAAGGTCACTTACGCCGAAAATGACCCCCACACATTTTCGACATCACTTGCAACGAAAAACCTCTGATTACCTGTAAATTTCCACGAAATTACGCTACCACGAAATGCAAAAAAAACGATCAACACTTCATCTCTCATTCATGTTCCAGTGGGGTGGGGTGGGTGGGGGGGTGGGGTGGGGTGGGATGATAACGTTCATGTTCCTATGCACACACAGGCACAGCAACCTCATCATCTTTCTTCCCGTAGAGCAGAGACAGGCACAGCTCTTTCATGATCAGTTACCGGTGGGGTGGGGTGAGTTAATAAGGTTCATGTTCCTATGCCTGCACACGCACAGCAACCTCATCATCTTTCTTGCTGTAGAGCACTTACACGCACTGCTCTTTCATGATCAGTTACCCTTGGGGTGGGGTGGGGTGGGGTGGGGTGGGATGATAACGTTCATGTTCCTATGCACACACAGGCACAGCAACCTCATCATCTTTCTTCCCGTAGAGCAGAGACAGGCACAGCTCTTTCATGATCAGTTACCGGTGGGGTGGGGTGAGTTATGTTAGTTGTGAGATGAGCGGAAATACGTGAGATGAGTTGTGTGAGTTGTGAGATGAGTGGAGTAGTGTGAGATGAGTTGTGTGAGTTATGAGATGAGTTGTGTGAAAGAACTTGGGTGAAGTTCAGTGAGAGAACACGAAGCAGCTCCACCAAATGCCACACGAAAGCAGCTCTTGAGAGAGTTGAGTTGTGTGAGATGAGTTGAGTGAGATGTGTTGTGTGAGATGAGTTGTGTGACTTGTGAGATGAGAGGAGTTGTGTGAGATGAAATGTGTGCATTGTGTGAGACAACTTGAGTGAAGTTGAGAGAGAAAGAAGCAACTCAGGAGGAGAAGGAGGAGAAGGCAAGGAATACAAACATAAAAACAAAAGCCCCACACAGAGATGTGAGGAAAAAAACCATAACTTGATGAGTTGTGTGATGATGTTAAAAAAAGCTAGAAGAAGAATCATGTTACAGAGCTACAATGACAAAATCACACAACAAAAACGTGCACAGACGACCAACCGTCTGACGTGCACAGACGAACCACTTTTGACGTGCACAGACGACCCCCCAACCCCCTAGGCCCCACAAGCTGTTTCTATTGGGCTTCGAAACTGCCATGTGGCACGTTTTCGGCAGGCCTTAAAACCTTCAAAACCTCCGCAGCAGCTTTCGAAGGCCTCAGAACCTCACAACCCTCCGCAGCAGCTTTCGGCCATGGTACCCTAGGCCCCACAAGCTGTTTCTATTGGGCTTCGAAACTGCTACGTGGCACGTTTTGGGCAGGCCTTAAAACCCTCAAAACCTCCGCAGCAGCTTTCGAAGGCCTCAGAACCTCACACCCCTTCGCAGCAGCTTTCACAGGCGTCCCACTTGCTTTGCCATGGTACATCCCTAGGCCCCACAAGCTGTTTCCATTGGGCTTCGAAACTGCTACGTGGCACGTTTTGGGCAGGCCTTCAAACCCTCAAAACCTCCGCAGCAGCTTTCGAAGGCCTCAGAACCTCACAACCCTCCGCAGCAGCTTTCGGTCATGGTACCTCCCTAGGCCCCACAAGCTGTTTCTATTGGGCTTCCAAACTGCCACGTGGCACGTTTTCGGCAGGCCTTAAAACCTTCAAAACCTCCGCAGCAGCTTTCGAAGGCCTCAGAACCTCACAACCCTTCGCAGCAGCTTTCGGCCATGGTACCTCCCTAGGCCCCACAAGCTGTTTCTATTGCGCTTCGAAACTGCCACGTGGCACGTTTTGGGCAGGCCTTAAAACCCTCAAAACCTTCAAAACCTCCGCAGCAGCTTTCGAAGGCCTCAGAACCTCACAACCCTCCGCAGCAGCTTTCGGCCATGGTACCTCCCTAGGCCCCACAAGCTGTTTCTATTGGGCTTCGAAACTGCCACGTGGCACGTTTTGGGCAGGCCTTAAAACCCTCAAAACCTCCGCAGCAGCTTTCCAAGGCCCTTAAAACCCTCAAAACCTCCGCAGCAGCTTTCGAAGGCTTCAGAACCTCACAACCCTCCGATGAACAGACACGGAAATCCCTGATATCAATACATTCGATTCATTGTCCCACAATCTATGTTTACACTACCTAGACCTTCAAAAGTTCCATAATATTTGTACGTTTGGACTACTGCACGCGTGGGCCGTTTTGACCGTTCCCCGCCGCTCCGCCCTTGAAAGGGGGTCGGCGGCACCTGGGCGTTAGCCCATTTATATCAATATCTCGATAGAATCTAGGAATAGATTGAAATTGAAAGACAGTGATATACTGATATACTGATTTGTTGATTTTTCCAGGGTATTCAACAGGCCAAGCGCTCCGACTCCCAAGCATGATTGAAACGCAAAGAAATCCTAAGTTTGACCAACTGTATATGGGGCTGGGTTTTAATTGGCTACTCAAATGATGGAAAGGTCGATACCCATACCCATACCGCCCTATATCAATACAAGTCTCATTGTGTCAAATCGGATTCTTGAAAGCGTGTCCAGGTTCATACTTTTTTAAACCCAACCCAAAAGCTGAAACAGCCACGTGCAAGGCTCTGCTTTAGCCAGGGCCCAAAAAACATATACCAGCGTTGACCCAAAACAGAAGGAGATATCCAGCGCTGAATACTGCATAAAGAAGTGGGATAAAGGTGGGACAAGTGATGGACAAATTCTTTTTTACCGCCCTAAGGACAGCACAGGGGCAGAAGCAGAAGACCAGTGAGATACAAGTAGGAGGGACAAAGGAAAAATTATCCGCCCCCATTAGGCAGAAAAGAGGGAAACAAGTGGAAGGCAAAAGAAATTGTTTCGTCCCAAGGGTGTCAGCCTGTTCAACGGACAAAGAAACCCAACAATAAACTGTTTGGGAAATCATGCGGCCTAAGGTGCACACACACAGCATACTGGGACAAGGGAGACAAGTGTAGAATCATGCGGCCCAGAGCGCCCACAGTGCACTGGGAGAGCTGGGAGAAAAGGATATGCCCAGGCACGCAAGCCCGGAGACAGAAGCAAAATCATGCGGCCCAGGCATGCGGCCCGTTCAAAGGAGTACGAACCCCATACAAGTTAAACCTGTTTGGGGAAATATATAGGTAGGAATGATCGCATCTATCACCAAGCAGCCTAGCAGCCTAGCAGCCTGGCATACCCATGGCATACCCATGACAGCCCCGCCTCCGCTCCGAGGAGCTTCCACGCTGCCTTAGCCTGGCTATCACTCGTAGCCTGCCGCAGAACCATAGAGGGCCTAAAATGGCCATGTCAATGATGGTACCGTATGGAGGATCTCCCTTACTATAGTGAATGATATCATGTTCAGATGAAAATCCATTGGTAGGGAAAATGATACATATGTTCTTTCATCTGTTAACGGGGAAAATCATGATATGCTGATAAACCATCAAGTGTGGGGCTACCCTACTTGTAGACAAAGCCACTTTTTTGCTTTTTTCGTAGAAGCAATAGAAGATGTGTTTACTTGCCAACAGAGGCAATGGTACTGCCGAAGTCTTGCCACAAGACAAAATGATCTAGACCCAAAATGAGTCTGCAGGAATCACGTGTTTCAAAGATCTGCTGCGGCAAAGTTTGCCTCTGCAAGCCTAATGAATGGCCAAGGCCTGTTTGGGGAAGCTTCCAAGCATTTTGTCGCTTGCCTGGACTTTTTGTGGCTTTGTGGCTTTGTGGCATCTTTCAATCAAAAAGAGGGCTCAGAGGCCGACCTTGGGCTTCCCCAACAGGGCTTAATCGGCGGCTACACAAGAAATATGGACGCATGTCCACACAAGAGGTGCCAGAGTGGACGCACACTCTGCTGTTGCCTTTGGCAAGCTTCTGCTCGGAGGCAGGACGCCAATGGGTCGGACCACCTCTTTTGAAACTGACCTTTTGGACATTTTGGACATTTTGGACATTTACCTCGCCCAATGAGCCCCTCTGCGCCTTCTTTGGGCTTGGCCATCATAGGCCCTTTCTGAAATTGTCATGCGAAGCTTCGCAAAAATTTCCAGCTCCGCACCAACAGTTGGGCTCCACTCAGCAAAAAAAAAATGTCCCATCTTCTGATCTTCTGCAGAATCTGGCTGACAAACCCTGGCAGACTCTGACAACCAGCAGCCATGTGCCTTCGTTCGGAAAATGCGCTGGGCTCAAGCAGCCACAGTGATCAGGGACCACATGGCTTGCCGTCACAGCCTCTTCTTTTCCAAGCACTTCTTTTCCCAATAGTTTTGCTAAGTTTTGCTGGTGCTTTTGAAAACAATGGTCTAACTCTGTAGGTGCTGCAAATGTGATAATGTGATGTCACTTCCTGTATATAGAAATCTGGAAAAGTTGAAGCCAGAGTACAAAGCTACACACCGGATTGAAACCTGTCTTTGCAACATTACTCCGGTCTATTGACTGTCTCACTTCCAGCTCAGTCGCTCGCCTGCCACACCAGCATGGCTTGTGCTCTTGCGCTACAAAAATCGTACTTGCCACACCTGAGTCGTCGCAGTGTGGTCAAGCACACCTCAGATGCAAATTCTGAAGCAAACAAAGCAGCACACCAAAACAAAAAGAGCTCCTCAGAGGTTTCGAATCCTTCCAAATACCAAGGGTTTCCAATGTGCAAACCTCGCCGGCTCTGATTTGGATGTTTGCAAACGGGCTGCCTGTCTCTTGGCTCTGCTGCTGGTCATAGGCAGATACGCCTCGGAAACTTCTTCCGAGCCACCACAAGAATCTGGGAAAGATGGAAATAGAAATGTCCAAATGCCAAGGACGTTAGCAAAAGGTCTCCAACAAAGCATGTTCTTTTTATTTTTACACTCCAAGAGCTGCCACGCATCCAAACTTTCCCCACTTTGTGCCAAGGTGTTGTTGAATCAATGTTTTTTGGTGGCAAGATGCGGCAAGTCACCAAATTCCAAGTCTTCCAATTTCATGGGGACAGTAAATCCAAGAACGCCCCAACGTGGCCAAGTTGCGGTAGTACCATGCCTTCGGCAGCGCGAAACCGTTGAAGTTGCAACCCGCCTGGGTCGACACCAGAAAATGGCCAAGGTGATGCAGAAAGTCAACTGGTCTTCAACAGGCAAGTCATAGGCTGAGTCAAGTAGCGGCCGAGGTGTAGGCACCCATGTTGCGCCAAAGGATCCACTCACCTTCTTCCAATTCGGGCATCATATGCTTCTCCAAAATCACATCAAAGCCTGGGAAATCGATGGAGCTGAGGCAAAACTAAGGCAAGCTACTGGAGCTACTGGAGCTACTGGAGCTGGAGCTGAGCCCTCAGACCATCACAAGTTGGTCCAAAAAGGGCGCAGGGCACCTCTGGCCGCTCCAAACCTTCCGAACTTAAGGGTTCTGGATGGACAGCGACGTGGTCATAGATGATGCAGTTGAAAGAGCCATAGAGCCTCGCAGTGGAAGGTTCTGTTGTGACTCCCCAGAAATTCTGAAAAATAAAACCAAGAATCTCTGATTGCACTGTCCACAGGTGTCTCACTGGGGTCTTGGCCCATCATTCAAGTAATAGCCTCACCAGGCACGATCTTGATGGATGACGGAAGTTGTAACAGTCCAAAATTGTAGTTTCAAGTGTTGATCTCGTATCATGTGAACTATCTTCATATTCTCATCTATGTTCGACGATCTTACATTCAAAATGAAAACACTCTTCAGGGGGCCACACTTTGAACACCTAAATGACCAAGAGGCTCTGATTATCGTGGCAAGTGCTTTGTCGCAAAAGATGGAGAATAAAATGCTTAGAATATCTGAATATCTTAGAATTAGAATCATATCATAGAGAAGGTTGTTGTGTTCAATCCGAGTTGCGACAAACTTGCTCAGAGGTGCCATCAGTAGCTGGAAGCTTCGCTTTGGCATATGCTTTCCTAATGCGAGCAGATTGAATTGACACAACCATATTAGGATTTCTGACCAGTTTATGAATGCAAGCAGCTTCTTTTCTTTTCTGCCAAGGCACGTCAAGAGATGTGCTGTTTGGGCAGCGAAAAAGCGGCCAGGTTCAGAGATAATGTTGAGCTGGCGCAACGGGAGCATATGGAGCACAGGAAAAGCTGAAAGTGCAAAAGCTTTGCAAACACAGCCAGAGTCTATAATCTCAGAGCCTCGGGATACTCGGTTTGCGGAAACAAGCGTGCCAACTTCTCCGCAATGACAGGTGCTATCCTGCGGAAACACAAATTTGAGGCTCAAGTCGAACCAGTCGAACTCGAAAGACTTCAGCAACTTGGTTTTGAGCTTGCCACAAACTTTGACGGTGGACGTCACTGGGCTTCCCGGCGTTTCGAACCCTGCACGGTCACCTGGATAGCCACCACCAATGTCAAGCACTCGCAAGGCCTCCAATGAGAGGCGCCAATTCAATTTTGAACCAGCTGACAGTCCCAGTGCCAGGTTGGGTTTCAAGCTAAATCAGCTCAGCTTGCAGGGCTTATAACATATTATATATAACAGCGTCTACCCCCCACCTGCATGCCCTGTTCTTTTGCGAGGCCTGCAAAGAAGCGAAGTAGAGCAGACATGAGCAGACATGCAAACACAGAAAAGAAACAGCAAAGAGACACATCAAATATGAATCACTCTGAATCACTGTCATTGCTGGCTTCTTTTACAGCCAAGCAACTGAAAACCTCTTTGGCGTCCCTCAGGGCTGGCTCGAAGCTTTCAGGATCTTTGCAACCTGCAGAGGTGGTTGACACCTACCTTTCTACTCTCTCATACTGTATGTTCATGTGTTCAGTGCTTAGCATATTTCTACTGCTTCGGTCCCTCATGTCATTGCAATGAAATTTCCCATCTGCGCCTGAGCCGACGTGAAAAGACCTCGCAGCATTGTGCAACTATTGACTCTTTCTCTCTCTCTCTCTCTCTCTCTGACATTTTCGAATCATGTTGAATCATGTCAAATAGTGTTAAATCAGAATATGTGGATTCCTTTCTTAACCCACTGGTCTTGGGTTGCTGCACACCAGCGAGGTTGAGCTTGAGCTCCTGGATCATGCGCAGCAGCTCCCGCCAGGTGCTGCTCTTGGCGCCAAATTTCAAAGACATTGGGCATTGAGCTGTGGAGTCCTCGCCAGCATCAAATAAGGAATGGCCGGGTACATGGCACCATATGGCACCCCATGTACCATGGTGAAAACGGGCTTTGTCTTGTGACATCTTGTGACCCAACCCTTTCATGGCAGTCCTCGCAAACGACCCTCAGCAAAAGCTGTGCCTCTGGATACACAGCTGCAACCTTGCGCAACTCCACGTCATTGTCAAATGACATGAGGCTAATGCCTCAACGTCAGGTGATGCAGGCATCCCAGGCATTCCACTCTATACCAAATATTGATAAAGCTCGCACATCCGAGAGTCCGTACCAAGAAGTGTATGGACCATGATTTCTGTGAGATATATTTAAGGTTCTACAGGCTAGCAATGGCTAGCACCAAATACCAGGCTTGGCCAAAGCTCCAAACTTTTGGACGAAATCTTTGAGTTTTGACTGTCGAAGCCAGATCTCCCAGACCTTTTGACTCTGCACCTTGTGACTTTGCAAAAGCAATGTGCGACCGCGGTTTGCACGGATGCGAGTACCTCATTGTATGCGAATGATTTCCACAACACGGTCTATTGAAGCGCAAGATCTGGAGCTTGAAAACTAGAGCTGCAGACAAGGCACACAATATCTTGAGGACTAACACCCAGTGCCAAGACAGTATTGATTTCCTTTCAGGTTTTGCTGCTGTTGCTTCATGTTGTGTCAGTGCCATGCATTCAGTCCTGCATGGTAGCGCAATCGAAGCCGCAGCCTCCCTCGAGAAGCTGCTTGATGATCTGGAATATGTCGGGCACGACAAATGACGGTAGATCAAGGTCTCAAACGGCAAGAACCCGCAGTGTTTTAACAAGCCATCAACTTCTTGGGTAACGTTTCATCCAAATCCCACTTCCATATATGCTGTGTTTGGGAAAATAAGAAACCGTGTGTATATATACAGTATGCACACCCAAACACGGTAAAATTGGCAGAAAGCCAAAAACAAAAGACTTGGAAAGACATTCGAACAATATCAAACAATTTCGACAATATCATAATGAGTCTTTTGGTAAGATAAATGACGCAAAAATGCGAGGGAGTATGACAGCTCAACGCAGCACCAGGGTCCAAACAGAAAGGATTACAATGAAAGGATCATAGAAAATGAAGGTCGAGAAAGGAAAGCATGTTACTCCACTCATCGCAATCAGTCACACCTGCTTATCTGGGCAGCACTTCACGGCATAGTGCGGCCGAACATTCGGCAAGTATTTCCTCGCGGGCCAAGATGCGTTTTTTCTTCTCAACTTACAGATACAAGATTTGAAAAAGGAAACGAAAAAATAAAAATAAGAAAGGTCCTCCACAAATCAATCTGATTAATGACCTCAGGCAAGTTTATAAACTCCATTAAACTCCAAAGCTTTAGTGGTTTCAGGAAAGCAAGAAAATGTGGGAAAGAGCGGCAAAGTCATTGGAAGTACGTTCCAGCGCTTTGCAAAAAGCAAACCTTAGGGAAGCACGTTACCAAGATTCACCACCGACACAGGCCTGAGCTGCAACCAGAGTGTGAAATGATGCAGAATGCACCGCTCTTTTAGGATAGCAAAGATTAGCAAAGGAACCCTGCTCATCCAAATCAAATAAAAACCAAATCACTTGGACCCACATTGCATATGGTGAGATATTACTCATACTTTTCTCCTATACTCCGTATACCTTCATATAACCTGCCTTAGCAACAAGCTGAAACTGCTAAAGCATTTAAAGCCTTTTAAAGCTGTCAATGCACAGCGGCCAGGCTGTGCAACCAGGTGACTCATCCAAGGTGTCACCAAACTGCTGCAGCGCCTGCTTCGCAGCAACCCGAATGGAATCCTGGACGGACCGCGGCGGACTCAGCGAAGATCGAAAAAGCCAGGCGGTTGTCGGGATCTTTCAGCAGCACTCCAATTCCTAAAACAGGCGCCTCGCCCGTTTGCAAACCCTTCAGCACGGTGACCTTGGACCTGCCATGATCAAGCTGTGTAAGTTGAAGCTTGACACGGTGTGAAAAGGTGTGAAACATGGTGCAAGTTATGAAACACTTCCACAGATCCGCAACTGTTGACATGTCAGGCTTCTGAACTGGTGACGTCCTGTTCAACCTTTTCATGTATCAGCAGATCAAGGGATATTCCAACTCAGTCTGCAGTAGGCACACCTGCGCTTGTGTGTTTTCTTGTCGGCTGAGCGTTTCTTCTCACCTGGGACAACTGAAGGAACATGGACATCCAATGGACTTTTTTAGTCGCGCTTGAAGACTTGTACAACGGCAAACAGCTTCCCATAGCTTCCCTCTACTCAGTGGGAGCACCGCTCAGCAGGCTACCATTTTCCTGACAACACGTCAAAGTGTTTTCTTACAAACACAGTCTGCAGATTGATGCTATGTTCAACCACACTGTATTAAACTCCAATCAGGTCAACACCTTCAGGTTTGCATCAAACAAGTGCTTCGTTCACTTTGCGAGAAAAATTGTCTATATAAAGAATGCGAATACCAAGAATACCAAGTTCTGACAAAAGCATTGCAGCGATTGACTTGGACATCTTGGACAAAGTCACAGGGGCACACCTCGTGGCTCAACACAAGGGAGTCCATGTTGCCTTCCAGCTTTGCTGGGATGGAGGCAAGCGATAACATTTGTTTGAACTGCCTTTATAAATAGCATAGTAAATTGGCATGAGTTGGCATAACGCATAGGTCAGTATGAAAGTATGAATGACATTCCCTCTGTTCGCTCCTACCTTACCTGGTTTTATATACGTACAATATATACAATGTTGTCTTTGTGTATGTGTGTGTGTGTTTTCCATCACATAAGTAATCCATCTGGAAACACAAATCTGCAAACCATTGATGAGTTCGTGGCCACAAACAGGCCGAAAGAGAAAGGAGTAGACAAGCAAACTTGTCATGTATGAACCAGTTGCTATCAAACTTCAGCAATGCGAAAGGATCCAAGACTGAACAGAAACATCTCTTAGATCTGTCTCCCGATCTTGCCTGAAGCCTGCAACGCAGGCACTTCTTCGTCAACAGGGCCTCGAAGCCACTCTGCTTCCATCAGCCACTACACCACATCTCTCCATTTCATTCCATTCTGGGTCCTTCAAATATCTCCCACACTTCTTCATAAATGCTTCCCCTTTGGATAGGCTTCAAGTCTGAGAGTGAAACCGGGCCAGGGGCCAGCGGCCATCCGATTCAAGAGTCACCGCATGGGCTTTGAGCCACAAAAAATTTGTGCAAAATGTGCCATGTGGTCAGGGCCCGGTCAGTAGCCATCTCCGTGTCATTCTTTGCTTATCCTTTCTTCCTGCCATTCATGCAGACCTCTTTTCACTGCTTTCACCCTGACAAGGCAATGGAAAAAGATGAAAAAGAAGTGCATTTTGGAGGTTTCATGCTGTTCCAAACCCACCTGAAGTTGTTCCTGAACCTCTTGCAAGACAGCTTGAGGAGGCTCACCTTCCTGGCAACATCTTGATCATGTTGTGTGGGACTCATATCTGTCATATCTACAATGACTTACAAAATTCTTACAATTCATCTGGATCTGATAGGTTTACCGCGGTTTACCCCTTATATAAACAAATGCCAACCATGTGTGCGGCCTTCAGCCACTGCCGACCCTCAACCAGCAGCTCCATGCCGTTCAAACCGGCCTGTCGAGCACTGAGTTGAACCAAGGTACATTTGCTGATGTGGAAACAACTGCTGCAAATGACTCCGAACCTGAGGTTCAACATGGTTCAACAAATGCTTTGCCACTGACAAAGCGGACAGGTACAGTGGATCAAAAATGTCAACAGTGCCTGCAAGTTGTTGGGGTCGGCCAATGCTGGCTCGAAAAGCTTTCGGAATGCAACGGAGCAGATACTTGCAGTGCATACTGTAGTTTGCAAATGCTGGAGCATTGTTGCATGAAACAAAAACTGAACTCAGACAGCTGCAAATGTTCCCCCTGACTCTAACCCAAGTTGAAGCTTGAGAACTGCCAAATTTGAGCAGCGATCCACTTTTTGGTTGCAAGATCTGGCCAACCCCATCTTGGTCATCGGAGTTCACATGCTGACGGCGAATCGTCTCATTGGAAAGTTGCTTTCACGTTTCTTCGTTCGGGCAGTCTTCCTGGGCGCAGGAAACATGTTCCAGGTTTCCAATGCTCCTGAATCTACACTGAATTTACAGACGATTTTTCATGATGTTTTTCATAGCGTTTTTGGTGGCGATTTCATGGCTCTTCATGTCGCTTTTATCACGTTTTCATGACGTTTCATGGTTGTGTGTTCGTTTTTGAGTCCAAGCTGCGCATACTTCTGCTCCGCCTTCAGCGCTTGACGGATCTTCTTGGTCTTCTTTGGGCGCAAATCCAAAGGCACATACTTTTTGCCTTCGATTTGTGCAGCAATGGTGCACCAGTCATTCCAACACCCCAGAGAAATTGATTTTTTGATGTTTGTTGGAGTACTCCCAATCACCAAAATGGCCGAGTGATGTCTGCGACTTGTGGCACCCCTGGTCCATTCCAAAACACCATTCCACAGCAAACAATACCATTGCATATGCCAAGCCTGAGTACTGTTTCCTTGCTTCCGCCTTCTGTTTGGTGTTGTACACAGTCAAGATGCGCGCAATGTTCTTCCTGACAACCTGCACAAACAAAAAAAAACATCTCCGATGTTTTACATATGAAAATCATCCGGACGCCTGCAAAATACGGTTGCATCATTGGCAACACAATGCACCTTGATTTTGGCAAGTTTTGATGCTGCTCCTCCAGACACCTTCGCACAGTGCACGAAACAACACAATTTCTACAATGAAACCAATTCAATTCTTTGAGGCATTTGCTCACAATGATCAACTAACTAATCAAACTATCAGTGACTATCAGTGGAATAGTCAACGCCATAACCACACACCTTTGCAACCCGCAGCTGGGCCAGTTCAGACTTCATATCATCAAGTTCCTCGCGATGGGGCAACTGTTTTTGCGAGTTCCCCACTTGAAAAATTCACAGTATGATTTCCATTGCAAAAAACGTTTGTGCAAAAACACTGGTTTACTCTAAATTTAGATATCTGAACTGATTTTGGTGGTTACGCCAGCATTTTTTTTGCCGTAACCAAAGGTGTCAAACCCAAATAATTCATATGAAATTCAAAATCAACCAAATAGATCTGACATCTCATTGATACACACATTCATTCATTGCGTTTGCTGCATTTGAAAACAAATCGTTGTATATATTTGTTTTGGTCCTTCAGCAACTCTTTCGAAGTCTTTGACCGCAATTCATAAGTTTTCACCTTCGGTTCACAGTCAATTTTCAACAAACAACGAAACAACGACACCTTCGATTCCATCCTTCTGCAGACAGCAATGACACAGTGCAATTCTGGCATCCGCCTTCACCATCTTGGCGGGGTGTCACTTTGCCAACGTGATCTTGAACCGTAATCCTTCGCAAATACGCATGCAAACAATGCAAACACACATTTCTTCATTTGCCGGACCATATGGCTGAGAAATCACACATCAATGCGGATCATTTGCAAATGTGACAAATGTTCCAATGTTGCAACGCACAATTCGTGTTCATTTGAATCGAAGATGTCCAAAGAAAATGTTTCCTACATTATTGTTCCTCACATTCAATGATTTTTTTATCCCCCTTGCAATTCGGCCTCCGACCCTGACCCCTGAATCTTTAAAGGACCACTGGTAGCCTCTTAAAGAATGCGAACCAGGGCAAATTTCAGCCTTAAAGAATCTAACCCCAATGAACCAAGATTGCAACACAGTAGCCAGGTATGTCCCGTTAAAAAATTGGAGACCGTCAAACACACCAAGGGGTGCCCCTTTAAAGAATTGGATACCCAAGTTGAAGTCAAGCATGAAATGTTCTGAATATTTTTAAGATTTTATGGATACATATCATGTACATTCATGTACATGTTAAAGAGATATGTGGATGTGTATGATGATATATGAATATATATATGGTGCAGTTCCTAGAATCTTCCAAGGAAGGCCTCTTAAAGAATAGGAGACCGTCAAACAACAGGATTTCCTTAAAAAATAGAACTGTTTTTTTTTGCCGGCCAGGTATGTCCCTTAAAAAATACAGTTTTTTAAGGACATCATGTCCTGAACTTTTTAAGGAAAATTCCCAGGAGGATATTTTTTTCATGATTTTACTCGTCGTTTTTTTCGTGGAAACATACACAATACAGGATGCATCTAAAAATTTCATGACATGTTGTTTTTGTTTTTAAGGCGAGATATGGTTAAAAAATTTTGCAAAAAAACTGGCAGATCAATCACCGAGCCAGAAATGCCGAAGCATATGACATGTATGTCCACATCACAGATGAAACCATTCCAGTCAATTTGTTTTTCTTCGCGTGCGTAACTGCAACAAAACCACCGCAATGAAAAAAACACCAATGGGAGCCACACAACGCTTGGCCAATAAACATCATTATGATCGAAGGAAGTTCAGAAGTCAAACTTCCGACAATATGGACAGATGAAAAGTAGAGCAGGGAAGAGGCACAGAGAAGAGAAAGATTAGAAGAAAGAAGAGTAGAAGAGAAAGAGTAAGAAGAAAGAAGATGCAGGTGCGCGAAAAGGTAGGAAGGTCGCGAAACACTGTGTTTTTCCAATGATTTGGGGCTCCGGAGGGTCGAAAAGTAGGCTCGCTAAAGCGGCGGGTGCGGAGCCAGCTGGCCAGATGAGAGATGAAAAAGTGCACGCCGTTGTGGCGCGAAGCACATTTCGAAGTCAAAATGTACAAAACACACCATTCTCGGACCACTTTTGGAAGTTGAGATGTCGAAAAAGTGCGCGCCGTTCTGTGACCTTCTCCTGAGGAACCACGAGTTTTTGTCCTGCTGGCCGAGAGTAGTACCAACTATACCCCAAGGTGGGCCACTACCCGCCAGCTACTGTGCGGTGAGAAATGGGAAAAGCCATCATCCGTACAACTGAGAGACCGAGACCATCTGCAGGATGCTCAACGCCTGTTCTCCCATGAGGACGCCGATCTTCTTTGCCTCTGCCTTGTTTACCTCTGAGATGTCATCCCAGCAGGCGTTGGGGGTGTCGTCCTTGCAGGAGGCAGCCAAGCAATGGGAGATCCCTACGCAGGAGCAATTGAACTCACCAACGACTCACTTCACCCACTTCTCATCCTCGGCCTTCGCTGAGGCGTTGATGAAGTCAGTGGTCCACCAAAGTGGCAACGGCTCATGTGCCAAGTCCAGGGAAGGCATCACGTGGGGCAAGTCCTTCCGGAAGTTCTCAGTCAGCTCGGCAAATTCGGAACAGTCTGGTGAAAGACTGATGCCGAGTGAGATTCCGATTATGTTGTCACCAATGAGATTGTAGCGCAGTCCTTTCACAATACGTGGGCGAAAGCGCTGATCCACAAGCTGGCCACCTGCCTCCTTGCCACCCTCCAAGTACTTGCCGACACCTTTGGAGGTCCACTCACCTGACTTGTGCGTACGGCCATGAACACAGAATTCGATGAACTCGGCCACCGTGTGCTCCTCCTCATGTTTGTCATTGGCCTCCGTGAGGACCAGCTTCTCACCATCCTCACAGGACCTCTCGCCGTACTCCTTGCAGTAGTTCTCATCTTTCAATTTGATGATCCAAATGCCCTCGCCAGATGAGCCACGATTCTGCTTGATGACACGTGGCTGGAACGCCATGGTCTTCTTGAAGCCAGCGGAGAACTCCTCAGGGCTGTAGTAGGCCAGAGTGTCTGGCAAACCAATGTTCATGGTAGCCACCTTGCACAAGGCATCCTTGGCTCCCATCTTCTCCATGACATCAGGGGATGGCCAAACCTGCTTGCCCATCTTCCTCAAAGCACACATGCCATCATCAAACTTCTGTTGGTCACCGCCGTCTGCCTTGATCTGGCCTGGATTGCATCGCACGATGACAAAGTCGAAGTTTCTGCAAAGCTCGAAAAACTTGTCATGCTCCTCGTGTGTGTAGTGAGTCAGCTGGCAACTCATTCCAGCGCTGATCATGCCATTCACGATCGGGATGGAATCGTAACGGTGGCCGTTGTTGCTCTTATCGGAACCTCCATAGGGTTGGCTTCGGACATAGATCTGGGCCAAAGCGCCCTTGAACTTTGGGTCACTGGGTTGATCCAGCATGCCCATGTAGTCCTTGGCCACCACCTTGATGCTACTGCAATTCACAGGGCCTGGGCATGGCCATACTTGCCGTGGCGGCGGTGGCTGTGCTGGTGGTGCTGGTGGTGCTGGAGGCGGAGGAGGCGGGGGCGCTTCTATGGGGTTTCCCCGGTATCCCCTCAACCGCGCTCCAGCCAATGGGCCTGAGATGGCACTACACAACATTACACTACACTACATTACCTTCCACTACACTTCACTACATTACACTACATTACACTCCACAACATTACAGCTACAACTACACAACTACACTCCACTACACTACAACTACAACTACACCTTCACTACATTCCACTACACTACACTCCACTACACTACACTCCACTCAATTACACTACACTACGCTACACTACACTACACTACATTACACTACACTACACTCCACTACACTACATTACGCTACACTTCACTACACTACCTTCCACTGCACTTCACTACATTACACTACACTACACTCCACAACACTACAACTTCAACTACACAACTACATTCCACTACACTCAACTACATTAAATTACACTACACTACACTACATTCATTACACTACATTACACGACACTACACTCCACTACACTACACAACACTACATTACACTACACTTCACTACATTACACTACACTACACTCCACTACACTACAACTACAACTACGCAACTACACTCCACTACACTCCACTACACTCCACTACACTACACTACATTGCACTACATTACACTACACTACACTCCACTACACTACACTACACTACATTAAACTACACTACATTACACTGAATGACACGCCACAGATAGACAGGTAGACAGATAGACAGATAGATAGACAGATAGACAGGTAGACAGCTAGACAGATAGACAGATGAAAGCGAGAGAGAGATAGATAGATAGATAGATAAACAGATAGATAGATAGATAGATAGGTAGATAGATAGAAAAATAGGTAGAGAGGTAATTAGATGAGTGAGAGAGAGAGAGAGAGATCGATAGATAGATAAATAGATAGATAGATAGATAGATTAGGTAGGTAGGTAGGTAGGTAGGTAGGTAGGTAGATAGTCAGAGAAAGAGAGAGAAAGAGAGGAGACCTCAAGCACCTTTCGGTCCATCAGTGGCTTCGCTCTGCCATCCCTGATTCACAACAAACAACCTCTCCTGCTATAGGTTTCCTATTTTTGAAACTTCCGCCACCGCCTTGTGCGGTACTACTGGTATCAGATAGGATCCACTGACATGATACCAACCGTTACCCCAAAATAAATATCAGTTTTTGACACAAACACGCCGTACAATCCATAGCGAACAAAGCGGCATCATTCTCTGATCCAAAAGCGTCTCAGAATGTACACTTTTCGATTTGTGCGTTTTGCACCTGAATTGACAACTGGACTCTGACATGTCATGTTGCTAAGAAACATGTATGCATCAAAGGTAAATATGTTTCACCCCGCCTTTGTGCGTCCATTTGATGTGCACAACCAAAATTAAAACTGAAAGTTCCTATGGTGTCGATTGGCCGTTGCCGCTGGGGGCTTCATTGAGTTACCACTACTTGCATAACTATAGCCCTTTTAGGGTTGCCCTCTCGGTTCACCTTTGTAACACTTTAATTTCCTCAAGGTAAATGTTCCATCTGGGCTTACTCAGATCCAAGTTACCCTGAGACTCACCCGGCACAGCTTTCCCAAGGCTCTACTGGCCATGGAAAAACAAAGCTTCAAGTGTATTGGAGGCATCAATCTTCCATTGTGTTTTCTTCTTCTGAACTTTCTCTGTAATGAAGGACTGCCCATAGGTCTGGGTCAGAGACTTGTGATTGCGTGGACTGCAAATACCTACGTTCCACCTGGGATCCAGTTTCCTCCTTTGAGCTTGAACCTGGCAGGTATTGCTCTCCACGTCCAAGCGCTTTCGCAACCATATCCACGTTGGTGCTAAGTCTTCTATAATTTGGTGAATCCTCATCATCTCATGTGTCACTCATATTTCCAAGTGTTCTCAGAGTGGCAACACGTAGAGATTCCATTGGGGAGTGCAATGCTGATTGCAAACAATGCAGAATGGCCACACGCTCTTCATAGCGTCTGCACCGGTCATGATCAGTTCTACTGTCACGGCGCCTGCTGCAGCGTCCAATCAACCAAGTAGTTGTCAGCTGTTGGTTCCTGGGTGGCTGTATCAGCCCTTGTTGTTGCATCAGCACCTGCAGTCTCATGGGTGGCTGTAACAGCCATTGTTGCTGCATCAGCACCTGGATTGTCATTCATGACAACTGGCTCAGCATCTGGCTCTTCTTGTGCAGCTGGGATGTTAGGCATGTTTGCAAACCGACGCAAGAAAACAAGACATGCAAATCCAAAGATCAACGTAAAATAACGAGCATCTGTGAAGGATTTGAAGTGGTATCCTCATCGCAGCCCTTCAGTGAAATCAAAGATGTCAGGCCCAAGATGTTTCTTTTGGAAAATGCCACCGGGATCTTCTGTGCTGCAGTTGTATTGAACATTCCAAGCGAAGCCATGAGAGATTTGAGACTCCCACAAGGAAGTCTTTTGGTCCCGATATCTGCCGGGTTCAAGGATCCTGCAATTGCTACCAAACGCATGTGACCTCCATTGATGTGGTCCTGAAGCCATAAGATTCTGCATGAATGATGTCTGACTCTTCCAACTCCCTGACGCAACAAGATTCCACGTGTAGCTGAGCTGTCTGTATGCAGCACTGTCACAACTCTGAAACCTGTCATCCAAGCAACCAGACGTGTGAGAAGAATGCTATCAGAGGCACCTGAGGAACAAGAATATACCTCGGCTTCACCAGATGAAAGTGACACAAGCTTTTGTGTTCTGGATGAGCTGTAAAGTAAGCAGCAACCCCAAAAGATTGTTGCACATGACACAGATCGACGTGTCGACTTGTCGCAAGCCCCGTCTGAATCTGTCTAGACCTCAACCAAGGTTTCCATAGCGGATACGCTGGGGTACTCGTGAAAGATGCCTGTTGCATGTCCTTGCTGTTTCAGTGACAAACAAACATCTTCATGGCAAGCCAGGTAAGAAACTAAATGTTTCAGGACTGTCATGTTTTTCATTGTGGGTTGTGTGCTGTAAGTAGCAAGGTGTCTGACCACATGCGGACAGTGAGGAAGATCCGCAGCAAGGTACAGCAACACAGTAACGCAGGTCCTAAAATCTTTCGCATCAGCTGGTGCCAATTCACCTGAAAGATCCTGTTGATCCATATCCGCATGGTTTGGGGTCTTTTTACCTTGAAGTCTTTTGTTCAATCCCAAGAGGCTGCACATCTGTTGAACATGCTTGTGGTGCAATTCGATGGTAAGACGTCCATCGGGCAACAAGGTCATTTTTCTCCTGTCCTAAAGAAAATGAACTTCATCGCCAGGCTTTTGCATCCGTTGCAACGCTATTTCATATTTTGACTTCAAGCAACCAACCAACATGACAAAATCACGACGTCCAACAACCAATATGTCGTCAACGTGGATCAGCACGAAGCAACTGGTGTCGCTTGTTTTCAACATGCAAGGGTATGGTGTGTGAGGTGTCATACCCAACTGATCACGCAAGAGCTGAGTGATGTCTTTGTGCCACAAAAGGCTGCCGTCTCTCTGTCCAGGGAGCACCCTACCCTACCAAGGCCATAACTGACCACAGTTCCATCGGCCATCTGACAGTTGACAGCGGTGGGTGTCTTCTGTTGCTCTGTAAGGAAAGCATCTTTCACATCAATGCTCAACATGACTGTTTGCTCATATTCCCTGCGTTAGAAAAAACTGTAGAAGCAAACTTGAACTTATGGCACTGCTTGCTGGAGAAAATAATGAATCACGCTCACCATCCATCCATGCAAATTCTCGGGCCACAAATCGTGACCTTTGTAGCCACACTGGTCGGCCCTCACCATTCAGCTTTTCACGCCACGTACGCACAAACTTGAAAGGATCTTTGCATCTGCTGGCATGGCACTGGCATCTGTGAGAACATGCATACCAGTCAAACGTTTGATCCCCAGTGAATCAGCTAATGCATCAAGACGCATGAGTTCTTGTTCATCTAGATTGGATTCGTACTTGCTGAAGGGAAATGTCAGCTGTTGCAAAACTGCTTCATCTGTCATATCTTGATCATCGTAGTATTCACTGTCGTTGAAACCAAGCCCATATTCCTCCAGTGTGTTAAGCTCATCATCTTGGAAGCTGAAAGACACTGGCTCATCCTCATGCTCGTACAAGGAAAGGTCTGTGCTGGTCACGGTGCTGGCCAACTGATTCAAAGCTGAGGAAGTTGGTCGTCACTAGGGCTAGCGGCTAGTACGGGGCAGCAGCTGCATTTAAAGTCACTGAGCAAATTGCCTCGCGACAGCGTTCCTTTGTCAGCGTTACTCTCAAAAGGGGCGGTGGCACCTGTATCGAGTTGTAAGTCTCGGTGCCCGTGATCAAGGTCAACATGCATTGGGTCATTGGCGTAACCTTGGTGATTATCTGCTGACCTATTAGCAGGTTGTGGTGCGCCAATTGAATGTGTGGTTGTGTCAGAGGGAACAGGAAGTCCTTATTTGAAACCGGTTCACCTCTTGTCAAACCTTGCCTTGCGGACGTGAACGCGTCGCTACGCAAAACAAACTTAAAAAGGCAAAAAGGCCACATAAAGCCAAAACATTTTTCTTCCAAAAGAAAAAGAACGCTGAATCTGCTCCGACGTAAATTCACATGAAATAAAACTCCGGACATGTGCAAAGTGAAAACACTGCCTTTCAAAATGTTGTGGACAGAACGGCGGTCACCACTTTTTTTCACAGAAATTGGGGAGTCAGCGAACCTTCATCCGTTTGCGTTCGGGGCTTTCCCTTCACGCCTGGAGGTGGGATGGGTGTGGGGGGTCAGACCTCCAGGCGGTGAGAACATTGTCCCACCCACCCACCCTTGAAATGAAATAAACGGTGGACAAAGAAGTTAAACAGATCACTCAAGACCAAGAAACTTCTTTGTACAACAAAACCACCTTGAACCTTGTACCTTGGAAAGGTTGGGTTTTGTTTGTTAAGGTTGTTTGTTAGCAAGGGAGATTTCCGTTCAATACTTCCTCATTACCGAGAGAGCACACAAGCTCAGGGGACGCGGTAACAGAAGACCAGCGTAAGGGAGGAAGCGTAGAGAAACGGTCACCAGAAAGACAAACAACAACGACACGAACGCAAGTTGACAGACAAGAGGACGGTGGCATCCCACCTGTGAACCTAGTACAAATAAAGGCGTATCACTAAAGTGAGCCGCAGCTTATTTGAAACCGGTTCACCTCTTGTCAAACCTTGCCTTGCGGACGTGAACGCGTCGCTACGCAAAACAAACTTAAAAAGGCAAAAAGGCCACATAAAGCCAAAACATTTTTCTTCCAAAAGAAAATGAACGCTGAATCTGCTCCGACGTAAATTCACATGAAATAAAACTCCGGACATGTGCAAACTGAAAACACTGCCTTTCAAAATGTTGTGGACAGAACGGCGGTCACCACTTTTTTTCACAGAAATTGGGGAGTCAGCGAACCTTCATCCGTTTGCGTTCGGGGCTTTCCCTTCACGCCTTTCCACCCCCATCTTGTCAATTTCGTGAAGGGAGTAACACGGCTTACATCTCGTGTAACCCGCCGTGTCCAAAGTTTGAAACTCAAGACGAGACGGAGCGTCTCCAGGGTTCGAAGGGGATGGTACTCTGGCGTACCAATTCATGGACTGAGTGAGGACGTCCATCTCGGCATTTATGACCAAGAGCTCGTAATTGTCAAATACAGGAGAAAAAGACCGGATGAGTGTCGACTGAGCTGAACTGTTGTCGATAAACCAAAGCACTGCTCTCCCAGCGATCTCTCTGATCCAGGTCAACTTTGAGACAAGCACTGGAAAAATCTCAGCTTGGCAAATCAACTGGGTCTTGCCTGACGCTCTCCATTTCGAGGTCCAACACTGGGGTATGTCATCCCCAAAATACAGAAAACGGTCTTCAAAGAAATCAGCCAAGACTGCGCCGTGGGTCACCTTTAAACCCTCTTGTTCACAAGCACCGTCAGTAAAGATCAGGATGGGCTTTGTCCCTGACCAGCCAGCAACAACACGAGGCCCTGACCTCTGCAGCATCTCCAACGCAGATCTGATGACCTGTTTTGTTCGTTCGTCCAAAAGCACTAGAGGGCCAGACCGTGTGGCTTTGGCTATCAGCTGCACTGCCAGCTGGGTGCATTTTCCAAATGTATGACCAGCCGCATAGAGCAGCCTCCCACGCAAAGTCTCTATCAAGGACTGTGGCACCTTCGTCTTGTTGAGTATAGTATTCACCAGCTGCGTAATGTCGTCCAACCTGGTAGGCTTATTCCGTACCATGATTCTTCCATGGGACATTTCTGAAAGATCCACCACCGCACCAAGCATCTGAAAACATGCTGCAAATGGAAGTCTCTTCTCCTCAGAGGTAGATATCTTCCATCCAAGAAGCTTCATCACCATCTCCGCAGTCTCCCAAGCATTCTGACACAATGGGAGAGTTTCCAACTGGCAGAAATCGTCGAAAAAATTTGTATTGACCAGCAGGAATAACTGGGCCATGATGATCCTCAAGGCACGGGCCATCCTATTAAAAGACATCACGGCCGACACCGACCCAAATGGGAGTGCCACTGAATCGAAAAATTCGACATCGCCCTTTTCAGGGCACCAGACTGCCAACACCGATGCCCATGAATCTTCCGGGTGTCGAGCCAACTGCTTATAGGCTGCTTTCAAGTCCAGCGCCCGTCCATGAAGCGGCCGCCAGACGCTGGCAGCTGGGGTTGCACCACTTGCAACCTTTGGGAAGCCTCCACCATCAAATTCGATGAGATCCGCCCCCATAAACACTCTAGCGGTGTTGACCACCTCGTCAATGCCATAAAGTGCAAGCTTCTCTGTGGTGGTGACCGAGGAGTTGATCAAAAATTCAGAAAAGTCATCCACAGCTCTCACCTTGCCTCCTTGCTTAACTCCAAACCTCTTTGAGGGGATCCAGCAACCATTATGACGCTCGTCCATCTGTTGCATAGAGAAGGGACCCTGCACCCAACCATCATGAAGCTGTTGCATCGTTTCCTGGTAAACGGCCTCTGAAATTTCGGGGTCAGACGCCACCCGTTTGCAGGAGGCGTATATCATACGCTTGGCCCAGACCGCAGAGTCCCTGAGTTGCTTAACTGTAATGGCTGCCGGACGCAACTTTCTTGGGAACTGACCAGACTCACACATCTTTCCAGTTAACCTGAAGCCTTCAGTCAGCTCATTGAACAAAGTCTGATCTCCCACTCCAGCATCGTTGCACATCTGCTTGAACAAACACAGGCGTTTGCCTGCCAGGACCTCATTAACCTGTGGGTCCATGGATTGTCTCAGGCTCTTCTCCTCCGCCATCAGGTCAACTGCGACTTGCATATAGTGCTTCAAGGCCTTTGCACGGAAAGCCGCAACATCAGCTGCTGGCCAATCTCTGATCGCCAAAATGGCACGCAAGTTGGAGGACTCGACCAGTTGGGGTGAGTCCAATGGGTGTTGAAGAGTTGCTGCAAGCCGCAAAAATTCCTCTGGTGACCTGTACACTCCAAACTCTGAAATTTGAATTTCCTCCTCGCCTTTGCTCCCCTTTTCGACCACTTCAGTTCGAGTGGAAATGCATTTAGAGTGTATGGGAATCCCTTGAAAAGGGGGAGGTGCTGATTCAGTGATGACCTTCGGAACTTCAACTGCAATAGATTTCAGCACAACCTTGAACTTAAATTCTGATAGAAGGAGCGGTGCCAGCTTGCCTCGAGGTTGAGTACCTGCTCCCATCCGCTGGTTGACATCCATGGAGGGGCTGTTCTGCTCAAAAACTTTGCCCTGACGACGCATTTGCAAAAAAATGCAAATGCCAACTGCTTGCACAACTGCCATGGGTATTCTGCCTCGGTGCTGGTCGAAAAAACCTGCTGTCCAGTTTCCTTTGAAAGTGTTTTCCCCCATGGCAGGTGTTGATGTCGGCCATCGCATTCTCTCTTAAGGTTGTCTGCTATGAAGTTCATTAAGAAACGCGTCTTCTTCAAGCGCTGCCCTCCATACATGCAACTGTGTATGACCTGAAAAATACAACTCACATGCAACTGTCTGAAAAAAGATGTACTCCACATCCAAGATCTGAGAGGGTTCTCGCAGATGAAAGGGATGTCAAGCTGCACGCATTTGTCAATGACCCTTCTTGTGAAAGCGTACAGTTTGTTTGCCAGTTTGACTTTCAAGGCATCCAACCCGCGCAATGTGGGCAGTCCATTCGGGTATCGTGCACTCCGTAATGGTTGAGGAGCACGTCTCTTCTGTCCAGACTGGAAAACTGGTATCTCCCTGGCACGCGAAGACGTGCCGCATGGCGGCGCCAACATCACACCGTCTATTTTCCTTTCATCCAACCACTGCAGTACCATCTCCTGATTCTCCTTTTTGCACAGGTCAACTTTGGAAGTTGGGCCCCTCATTCGTTTTTTGTCCACTACATGATCCAAACCAAGAGCCTCGCCACCCAGTTGAATAAAAGCTGCTGTCACTCCCGCCGTTCCAGAAAAAACATCAAGCAAGAAGACTGTGCCATGTTTTTCACCAGCCTCCGCATTGGCGCCATCGCCTTTGTGATGGCAATCACTGTGCTCTTCAGCAAAAATGGGTTGTAGGCCATGACCTTCGTCATGGATCACGGCCGCAGGTGAACGCTTTCTCTCACCGGCGACCTCAGTGACACACTGGCGCTTTTCGCCTGGTTGGTCCCAGGTGCCTTGACGCTTTCGTGTAGGCATCACTAAGACTGAAGGACCTTCGCCCTTAGATTGGCTGCAGTCAGCCTTGTTTCGACCAGCCACAGCTAGTCAAGAGCCCTTGTGGGCCGACACATAGGAGTGCTTCTTCCCGCACCCCTTCTTGCAACAAAGGTGCATTCCCTTTTTGCAATCATCTCCATTCTGGCAAGAGCCCAAATTGAAAGCAAAACAGTACGGTTTTCCGTTGTCATCGCATGGTGTGCCGCCCCTGAGCTGTTTGGGCATTGGAGTGCGGCGCAAACGCTTGAGCTTTGCCGCCTCTGCTGCATTCTTCTTGTTGGACGCTGGATCCTCCCTCGTCCTCTTTGGCTCTGCCTCCTTTTTGTGTGGCGCCTGTGGTTCAGGCCTCGCCTGCTGCCTCTTTGGCATGGGCATCAGCATCCACCTCAGCTCTGGCCCATTCAGCAAGGTCTTGACATGTTCGTCCAACGGAAGTTGCCCATTAGGGCCTGGGCGCAACCCTGCACGGGTCATCTCAGCCAATCTCACATGGAGCTCCCTGTCTGCAGAGGCCAGCTGGCCAAGGGTGACCGGGGAGAAGCCCTCCAATGGGTCCTTCTTGAGCTCAAAGAAGAAGAAGTTGATGATGAGCTCGTGCACTTCAAACGACATCGCCTGGGCCACCTCATATGCCACCCCCCTTCTGCGGAGGGCATTGTGGACATCTAATTCTGTAGCCAAACTTGCCTGCATCTCAGGGTCCTTGTTGACAGCCTTTATGGTTCCGCTTGCATCGGTTTTCCAAACTCGTAGCTCTGCGTCCTCCCGGACGTTATTGACTTCCTGTGCCCTGGACGTACATTTCGTCCATTCAATGTAACGAACTCGGCCATCTTCGACCGTCTGGACCACCGCATTGATCAATTGGTGTGACGGCTCCAGGACATTCTGGATGACCAGCGGAGACACCCTCGTCTGCAAGGCCTCGATCCTCTGAGCTATCTCGGGAGGTGGTAGCTTTCGAGGTGCCTCCTGCTCATTGGCATCGACCTTCCTTCGAAGATCTGCAGCAGTAAGGGTGTGGCTCTCATAGAACAGCCGTCTCAACTTCGCTGCATCCACGTGGTCCTCTCGTCCAAGGATTGGGATGAGTACACCGTCTATGAAAGGCTGGTCATCACCAGTCCCTGGGTTGGTGGCCACTGAGAAGGCGAAGGTGGCATGCGTCACCCAGCCACGTAAACCCAGTGCATTCACTGTGTCTTGGCTAATGCCTATGGCCAGAGCCCTGCTCTCAAACACGGCATTGCTGTCTACCAACGACATTGCGGCTTTCCACAAGTTGGGACAGTTAGATCCTATAAAAAAAAATTGACCAGACTTGCAGTCACTTCCCTCATGGAGCTAAGCACACATCCTAAGGTTAGATCAGCCGTATCCAGTTGAAAAAATTTTCAGTCCTGGACAACGTTCCAAGGCAAACATCTTGTTGTCAAAATGCAAAAGATTTGAACAGTCTCACTACCCTGCCCACTGAGTTCCAAGTGCTTTCACTTGTGCTGTCTGGGCCATACACGAATCGCTCACTGATTCTGCAGTGCATGAAACTCTGCATGATAAGAATTCGACGCTGCTGTGACATGACGCGTCTCACTGTTCAAATTCCCAAAACAAATTTTTTTTCACACGCCATTCACATGCCAACTTGACAGCCATGCTCAACTCTCGGCACGACTCCAGGGCTGCTGCGCTTTTGCTCGGACTTCAAGCATGTCCCAAGGTTCGTACCGGCTGTGCAGGCTATGTCACATCACTCAAGACATGAAGCCATGACTGAACCAAACCATCAAGGCAAAAGAGTTGAGCACTTCACATGAACGTGTTATGGAAATTTCACGCTTAAAAAATAAAACAGCTTGTTTCATCATTCCACATGTCTTGAGACCCGCACTGAATGAAAGAGCTCCCTCGTTCCAAGTGCTGCCCTCTGGCCACTGCAGTCTACGCGTCCATGGAATATGAAATCAAAGTGTCAAGGTGCACCAGTGGATCATGATACAGTGCTTCAAAAAAAAACTTGAATCTGAATATCCAATGGCAGTCTCCAGAGGTCCCGGCAGCGCTCTGTCGTGCCATCGGGCGACGCCCACTTGCCAAGCTTACAAATCGTGGCTGAAGAAAAACTTACAAATCCAGCACATGACAAGTGACACCGTCCAAACGACCTACTTGAGACTAACTGCATGAATCCACTGCCAAAGATTGCACTGGGGTGAATTGAGGTTCCGACAGTCTCTGACCCTGTTGGCGGCCCTCATAAAAGGCTATGACTCCCTGTTGTCACCAGCGCTTGCAAACATATCCATTGTTGCGTTTCAAAACACACAAGTCACATCAAAAAAAACTGCAAACAAGGACATGTCAAAACATTCAGGTCTCGACTCCAGAGAAACAGCGAGTGCATTTGTACGGCATGAAGTTCCCTACATCTTCGACTTTCTCGAAGTTCCTAGTGGCTAACTTACCGCACCTGAGCACTACTGCCTCACCATCTTCTTCAATGACTGCTGAGTCTTTGGCAATGTGACAAAAACCACTCTTGACATGTCTGAACACATCAACATCTTGAAGTGAATAATGCAATCCTTGTGCAAGTGAGGCTCCGACTATAGGGGCAGACACTTCGGCCTCCCGGTCCTCCTCTGATGTGTTGCAGTCCTTCTGAAACATCACGGACTCTCCATCGCTGTTGCTGGACATCGACACTGCACCTTCGGATTCAAAAAGATCCCATCCCTCTGGAACAGGAGATTCGGCCTCATACTCCTCCATGGGGTCCTGTGGTGGACCTGCAGTAGGACGTGCCAAAAGGTTCATTGCCTCCTGCAGTGACTTGCATGCAGGGTTGCTCCATCGCTTGGCCCTGGATTCATCTGGCCTGAAAAGGTCTTGGCCGATGATCATGTAGATCCCTTCAATCGCGTGTAGCACTGGGGCCTGGCCGTCTCTCGAATACTCCAGCGCAGATTTGCTATTTGGGTCCACATGGTATCCCGCGAGTCTCCTCAGCGACTCTGAGCAACAACACTTCGACATCCAGCTGAGTACCGTTGCTTTCAGTGAGTGCGTCCCGATGTCTGACACCGGGGATCCTGGTCTGATCTTCGAAAAAATCTCTCTCAGCCAAACCGTCGCATGTGACGACCCCAATGGCAGCAACGACCAGTTCCCGCCAGCCAAGGGCGCCGGCATCGTAGGCATACCAGGCTTTGCTTGGAGCCCCGCACTGATCCTGTTCTTCAACCATGGTGTGGCCCAGTCCCCAAATAGTCCAGGAATGCAACATGCTGCAGGCAGCAGGCGCTTAGCTTGCTTCTGGCGGCCAGCGTTCTTGTGGTGGTAAAGCTCACATTCCAAGTAGCCTGAGCCTTGGTTCAGGTCCAGGTATGGTTCATACTGGCAATGCTGGGCATCACTCCACCGAAGCCGAGCGTGCATGACCAAGCAAACATAACCTGCAAAGATAGCCTCTTGGCCCACCCCATTGATGGCGATGTTCTCCATTGCAGAGACTTGCCAAAGTTGCAGCGGAGTTTTCTTCTTTGGCAACACCACCGGGGTGATCACTGCTCCCTTCAACCGTGGGGACTGAAGGCATGCACCCACGTCAGCGCCCAACATGTGAAATGCAAAAGAAAGACTTTCCAGAAAACGAGCAGGTTTCGTCCGAGGTGCATTCAGCTGTCGCAGCTCCACAACGTATCTGTACGCCTCTTCTTCTTGCACAGGAAAAATACTCGCCTCATCATCAAAGGCTTTCTTCCACCGTGCAAAAGCCATCAACGAAGAAGCCCTTGACCGCAAAGTTGAAACTGACTTTCTTGACAGAGAATCACGTACAACTTGCTCTACTGAAAAATCTTGAACACGGCCATCAAGAATGCTGCTAATCTGACGTCCCAAAACAGAAGCCTCTAGGTTGTCCATCACTATGATCCTCCAATTCTCCAATGCCCTCCCAAACGCCCGTTCTTGCGCCACCGGCCAAGGGATGACAGACGTCACCTTTGACCACGTCACCTTGCCAGATATCTCGGATTGAGCCAGTGTCTCTTCCGACTTCTGCAGGCTGGGTAATGGAGCAAAAACAGGAGGTGGAATCAATCTTGGCTTCTTCCCAAAAATGGCGGACATTGAACCATGTTCCCAGGGCAACCTGATGCTCGACTTCTTGACGCCAAGCCTGTAAGATTCTGCCAACAGCATCCCATCCATGGCGCCTAAGATCTCACCGCACAAAAAGGCGAGGGGTAAAAAATACCACCCCATTTCAGACCTCCAGGCGGTGAGAACATTGTCCCACCCACCCACCCTTGAAATGAAATAAACGGTGGACAAAGAAGTTAAACAGATCACTCAAGACCAAGAAACTTCTTTGTAAAACAAAACCACCTTGAACCTTGTACCTTGGAAAGGTTGGGTTTTGTTTGTTAAGGTTGTTTGTTAGCAAGGGAGATTTCCGTTCAATACTTCCTCATTACCGAGAGAGCACACAAGCTCAGGGGACGCGGTAACAGAAGACCAGCGTAAGGGAGGAAGCGTAGAGAAACGGACACCAGAAAGACAAACAACAACGACACGAACGCAAGTTGACAGACAAGAGGACGGTGGCATCCCACCTGTGAACCTAGTACAAATAAAGGCGTATCACTAAAGTGAGCCGCAGCATGACCATCATCAACTTCCATCGGTTCAACATTAGGGTTACCTCGTTGACGTGGGGTTTTCAGCCCTGAAGGGTACTGGGTTCACTGTGCTGTGGGCGTGATAGTGTGTGCAAACTGTGAGGCACCTGAATGGTCATTCTTTGTTGGGTACGCTGCATCGGGTGCTATATTGCTCCTGTCATCACTTGGACAACTCGTAGCATGGCGCGGGCTGAAAGATTGTCCGGGTTGTATTAAGTCACTATGCTTATCATTCTGCGTATGTGGTTGCGAAGTAGCAGGGGTATTGGCAGGATGAATGTGTGGTGATGGTGGAGCATTATACGTATAATAAGGTACCTGATCACTGCCTATAGGCTTACCTTGCTGACTTATCGGTGCAGGCACACAGGAGGTGCCAGATCGAGTGGTAGTTGTTTCTTCGCGGTAGGGGTAACTTGCATATCCTTGTTTACATGGTTCTGTTGGGTATCTCCTTCCCAAGCATAGGTGGGGCCTTTCTTCTCATCTATTCCATACCAAGCTGCTACGACTCTACGGCTAGCTGCAGGGAGCGCGACCATAGTATGGTCTATGCCTGCAGGTACCAGCATGAGTAGAGTGACATTCTGGTATGGGTAGATCTTCAATGCATCAACACTGGTGGAAAAAGTTGACTCATTCCTTGTTTCAATTCGATTCACTTGAAGCTCACGGCTAGCAAATATCTCAAACATGATGAGACGGTCTAGCCTATCACACCGTCTACTTTCAATTTGATGTTTAATTTGCTGAAAACTTCTTCTACCAGCATTTTCAACAGCTGGGTGGCTGGAGAATGTCGTAAGAAAAATTTCCAGACGCTGGTCAACAGACAACTGGTCAACAGACAACTGTTCCTGAGCTAGAAGCCAAGGTTGTTGCTCATCGGCATACGTATAAAGTGTTCTACGCATTTTGTTGTCAAAGTGTGCTTCTCGCAACTGGCCGAATCTTCGTCGAGAGGATACACTTTTGCTGCTGGCAGGAGCAATGGCTCTTAATCGATTCTTGAATGATGGGTTGAGACTTTCTCCTACTTTCATCCAATGCTCTTGTTTCGTTTCCTGTCGTGGAGGTTCTCCTGGAGCTCCAGTACTGGGGAGGAGATTGCCGCAATGCTCAAGAATACACGAAACAGTTTGTTGTTTTTGATTTTTTTAAAGACAAATTTGCATGGAAAGGTGTATGTAGTGTCACTTGGAACATGGAATGTGACCATTTGACAGTGAGGGCTGTGATCATCCACAATGGTCCTAAATTCCATACTTGTTGCGGAGTATTCCTGGATGATTGCTCTCCCAAATGAAGTTTCAGATAGAAGGTGCTGGTTCTCAAGTCCCTCAGCAATTGATGCTCTGTCAACTTGTAGTGGAATCAAGGGCATACTTCCTAACGGGGACATAGTGATACGCTCCGGTGATATTTGGGGGTGCTGGAAACTAATTTGAACCGATTGCTGTCTTTGCCCAAATGGGATTTACGTATCTGAGCTCAGCCTGCACTAAGTTTTTTAAGACTTCAAGGTCTTGACCTCCTAATTTCATCAGTAGTTGGGCTTTCGAGGCAAAAAAGTACCGG